ATTTTTCTTATTTCTTTTCTTTTTTTTTCTTTTTTTTTTAACACGAGTTAACTCGTAACCGGTTCCCCAAATTGCTAAGAAAGTTTGCCGATTAAATTATTAATTTAAACTAAACAGAAAAATTCTCTCAAATTAGGATTTAATTCTTCCTGATAAGTCCTTTTATGAAAAAAAAAATATTTACACGATAAAACTCGTGTAATATCTAGTTTACCATCCCGTTCCCATGCCATAGTTTTACTCGTTCACGTTCTATGAAGATTTATAACTTCTTTTTGTAAGCGAAGGAAGATATTGGTGTGACGTTGGTACTGTTGAATTGTTACTGGACCGATTCCTTTTTCAAACTTGGAGAAGAATAGCTTGGAAAATGGTATGGTAGTGTTGAAGGAAAAAAACTTACTTTTAAAGAAAGAGAAAAATGTATATATATATATATATATATATATCTGTATGTATGTATGTATGTATGAATGAATGTGTATATAAAAGAATGGTAGAGAAAGAAACATCTCATGAAAGTGAGGAAGAGAAACGAGAAGAAGGTTTACGGGATGATAGCGAGAAACCCGATCGATTTTCATCAGGGTGAATTAAAATGGACATCGTACGACCATTATTCTTCTTCGTAGCAACTGAAAGGAGTGGCTGGAGAAAAATCTTAGCTTCGTTGAATACTTTAGCGACGTTCGTTAACAATCTTCCGTGTTCTTCCTTCCTTTTCTCCTTTTCTTTTTTTTTTTTTTCCTTTTTTATCCCTTTTTTCTTCTCATTCTTTCTTTCTCAGACGACATACTTTCGTAAATTCAAATCGAATATTATTTTTGTCCCCCTTTTTTCCCTGTGTGTGTGTGTTTTTCTCTTTTCTTCAAACATTCGTGCAAAGTATTAAAATAGAAATTTTCTTTTTTTCTTAACTCGAATAATTTTTATTCGCGATCGTTTATAATTGAGATGACAAAAGTTGTCTTTTAAAAAAAGAATACTTTGATACGATTTTTAAATTAAACCTATAGGTAATTTTTTTGTTTATATGAAAAGGGTCAAGGAAATGTTGCAATCATCAAAACGATAATCCTTTTTTCCTACTTCTTTTTCTTTTTTTTCCCCCTTTTTCTTCCCTTCTTTATCCCTTTTTTCTTCCTATTCTTTCTTTCTCAGACGACATACTTTCGTAAATTCAAATCGAATATTATTTTCTCTGTGTGTGTGTGTTTTTGTTTCTTTATTTCAAACATTCGTGCAAAGTATTAAAATAGAAATTTTCTATTTTTCTTAACTCAAATAATTTTTATTCCCAATCGTTTATAATTAAGATGACAAAAGTTGTCTTCTAAAAAAAGAATACTTTGATACGATTTTTATAATAAACCTATAGGTAAATTTTTTATATGAAAAAGGTCAAGGAAACTTTGCGATCATCGAAACGATAAACGGAATATTCAAGTTTCGTTCCATTCGATTTTCATCACGTTTGATATTCCATTCGATTACCGCATCCCCTAAAGTCATTTTTCATCTACCTTTGGACCACGAAAAAAAAAAAGAAGTACCCTCATCTTCTCACGTCATCGCGGTCTTCGTTCTCTCCCCTTAACTTTCAACGCGTTTTCAGTATTTCAAAAGGCACAATTCTTTATACCTTACTGTTATATCAATAAAAATGATTGAAATATATCCGTTGTCACAACATTTATTATATTCGTATAAAAGGTATCTTGAAAAGAAGAAAAAAAAGAAAAAAAAAAATAGGAATAATATTAATTTAATTTTCTTTTTTTTTTCATTCTTTTCAAACCAGCTGATTCATATTTATGACGTATAGAAAAATTGTATATTTTAGTATTTAAATTTGAATTTATTTATTTCTAAAATATTGCTGACATATGTAGCATTAACCCCTTGGCCTATAACCACGAGTCTGACTCGTGGTAAAGAATTTGTGTCATAAACAAAAGCCATGAGTCTGACTACTCGTGGAAAAGAATTTGTGTTATAAACAAAAGCCNGTAAAGAATTTGTGTCATAAACAAAAGCCATGAGTCTGACTACTCGTGGAAAAGAATTTGTGTTATAAACAAAAGCCACGAGTCTGACTCGTGGTGAGAAATTTATACATAAGATGCCGCGTATTTTTACAACGCGTTATTAAAACAAGCGATTGGAGTTATTCCACATCGAATATTTTTCCTTTGTATTCAGTAACATCAGTACTTGTGGTTTTTACATTTGTTTTTAACGAAATTGCATGATCTTTTACTTTAGTTGCTCGTAAAGCTTCGTTACTTTCACACGTTTCAAATTGTTATTGATTTATTATCTACTTTAAAATAATAAATTATTTTGTTTCAACTGATCAATTGATTATGATTACACCTCAGACGTCTTAAAATTACTATTTGTACCTAAAGATTGTTTATTTTATCAGAATTCCTTTCGTTTCATTGAAATATATATGTCATGAAAAGTATATATTGTATTTTGCGCCAGTTCGGGTATACGACTGAACAGTTGAATGAACAGCGATGACTTTCTTGTTTATTATGGCTCACACAATTGGCAGATATCGTGAAGGCCAGCCAAGAGGTTAAGATGTATGTCTTCAAGTAATTACAATTGCAAAACAAAAAAATAAATTAATAATGTGAGGATTCAGAATATCTTAGAAGTGTGTGTGACCATAGTGTTAAGTTTCCTACAAAAGGGTGCATGTGTGATGGTATGAGTGTGTGTGAGATTGTGATATTTGAACGAAGAAGAAAGAAAGCGTTTTCTGTAGATATGTTTGTTTAGTTAGTAAGTTTACACTGTCCGAGCCTTGTCGTCTTTGTGTAGCTCCACAGAAATCTCTCGAACGTTCTCCTTCCGGAAGTACGGAAGTTTATGAGGGAGAATCATCGAGAGGTTTCTGGAAGGAATGACAGGAAGGGATGCAAGACGATGAAGAGAGGGAAAGGGTATAAATAGGCGTCCGTAGGGACCGGAGGGCGCATTCCATATTCGGGCATTCTGTGATAGTTTTTTAGGTTACGCAGCAATAGATTATAGATTATAGATTATTCACCATTCTATCTCTTAAAACMATTATACCGAAATCGTTTAGCATTACTGCTAAGCGTTAATGATTCAGTCATTATTATTACCTTTTATAATAAATTAAAATCTTACAATAAGAATAATTTTAATTTGATGAAACTTTGATGAAATTCAAACAATTTTCATTGTACTAAACTTAGATTGTTTTCACGTACGTTTATAAATCGCGATTAGATCCGGTTTAGATCTCTATCTTTCTGTTGGTTAGGAAAGAGGTACTTTACTGCTGCTAAAAGGTTTAGTAGGATAGTTCGTGGATGAACTCTAAGCCGTCCAGACCGATGCTTTCACTCTCAACGAGGTGGTTGCTTCTGAATAATCAAAGAGAAAAATAGACTGACACATTCCGTGCATTAGCCTAAGCTTACTTTCAACATAGTTTCTCTTTAAAATACTGTACGGTTTTATGGAAATGTTTATCGTAATTAAATTATTCAATTATATTTAATTTATCAAATATATTTCTATACGGGTCCATTATCAACAATATATTTTATCTTAAGGATTATTGTAATTCCAGGGATTTGTTTCGTGTTATACGAGGTCACGTAAGTTAATACAATTCTCGTATCATTAATACGAGTTTGTCCTGCAATTAAATTTCCTACACAATGTGTACTGTGGTAAAAGGATGTCGTGTCGGATAAGAGTTAAAAGATAATTCTAGTACAAATATCCTTGTCAACAAGTTTCTGATTAATTTAGAAAATATTTTATCGAGTAGATGTAATTTAACATGTTCACGTCAGTGTGTGTACCACTGGACATTTGATTGTTCTATTAAACGGGTGTGTAATATCAAATATTTAAATCTTCACAAGTAAGTAGAAGTTATTTCCATAAAGTAGAAAATAAAAGTAATATATGAAACTTTAATTTAATTTTCTTTTAACATTTTTACATTCTAAATTAATTCTCATCCGATACAAAGAAAAAAAGCTTTAATTACAGTCGCCTTATGGGGAAAGAAACAAGAAATGAACCACCAACGTGAACATGTTAAATGAAAATGATAAGTAGGTAGATATATGGTGAATGAATTTCGTGAGTGAAATTTCAGAGATATGGGGGATACACGTTGAGGGTTTTATTTCTTTGATGGGTTTACTATAAGTGGGATCGATGAATTTTTAATATCACTAGCTAGGGTAATTTAATGGAATTTCATTTTGTACTCACCTTACCGAAGTTTGAGAGACCACCAACGTGAGGCACTTGACCAGGTTCATCCGCCTTGCTGCAGTCTGCCCTAACGAACCAACAGGTCAGTAACTCTATAGTTACAATCGTGCGCATTATTGCCATAGAATGACTTCTAATCATGGCTCTAACAATTCCCGGTTCTATTGCCGTACCACGATAACGATATTTACCTAACAGAGAAACCCGATCAAAGTCTAACGAATTGTTGTCCAATTTCTAACCGCGTTCTGCTCATTAACGCAATACCTTCATTGTATATTCGACCATATTCACACGCCATCATAATATGACGCGTTATGGCATTTATACGAGATCGATGAGGTTCTATTGAAACTATTGATAAACACACATAGACTGTTATTATTCAAAGTCTTATTAAATTAGCTTTCATATATGCCAGATAATTTCTGACTGAATTCATTGTAAGTCATAAAATGGATAGAATTATTACATTTTACAAATTTTATATTTTATATATTGCAATTATTTCATTTATATCTTATTAATGTTTAATCAATTTTATATTGACATTTTTTAACCCTTTGGGTACGAATTTATTTGAAAAAATATTAGCATGTGGTACGTATTGAATTTTTGTTTGTTTAGAGTAGTATGTAAAAGCAGTAGATTTTGCGTAAGAATTTATTTATTTTCTAAAATATTGCTGACATATGTATAGTATTAAGATGTATGTCTTCAAGTAATTACAATTGCGAAAACAAAAATAAATGAATAACAACAAATTAAAACTAAATGAAATAAATTAAAGCTGTCGTATTAGGCATTGCGTGTATCCATGAGCACAACCATGGGTCTAGAATTGCGAGGGGAAATTTTCCCTCCTTAAAATATATAAGGAATTTTACTAACAACCCTTAAGTATGGATCCGAGTTAAATAATACATAAACCATTTGACACAAGCTATAACAAAAAAGCAATTACTAATAATTATGCAGAGTGTGATAAAGGACCAAAAACGTTCTCAAATAACGTTTTAGACACATCATCCACACCTAGAGAAAACATGAATGACGTTTCTCAGACATCGAATGTACCCAAGAGTTTAATTTTTGGTTTGACGTCTTAACCAGTTAACTGTGTCGATCATTTTGCAAAGTGCGCCCTAGTGTGTGTCGCGATAATCAACCGATGACGGATATAGTCGTCAAACGCAGAGTAAGTAGCGCTGTTGAAATATTCGGTCAAAAAGACGATTTTATTTTAGGAAATGAATGAATTTATGAGTAATATTTAAACAATGGATCAAAACGTAAAGCTATATTTACACATAATTAACGAAAAACTTAAAACAAAAATCAAATATTTAACAAACGAACAAACAAACAAAATTTTTTTTTTTTTTCTTTGGTTAGAAATCGCGGACATCATCGCAGATGGAGAATCTAATATACTTTGTTTTTTTTGGTTATGACACGTCAAGATAATATTTGGGTTAATCAAAGATTTAGTGTCCAACTCAAATTATCTATAATTTTCATTTGTTTATTTCATTTCGTTCTGACCCCTAAACATTCTAAACATATTATTATTTACGAATAGAATTTAATTTTCGCCAGAATTACTATTTAAATATCAAATTGTATGAAAACTTTACGCATGACGGATATAGCCGTCAAACACACAAAATTCTGCCATTCTTCCATGACGGATATAGTCGTCAAACACACTTAACTGGTTAAACACGTCATCCACTTCTAGAGAAAAAAGTAAATGACGTGTCTCATACATCAAATGTACCCCCAAAGGGTTAATTGTGTTCATTGTTATTGGTATATATCATACTATACATTTTTGTACTTTTCAGATTGTTATTCATTCAAAAAAAAATGATATGAACAATAACTTGTACGTATATTTGATCTATTTTCGTTAAATTATCATTTAATAGTAGTTGAAACAGATTGAACAATGGCATCAGGTAACCATGATATGACGTAGCAATGCTATCAAGGATTAATACCATGGTGACGATCACGTGTATTAACGTTCCATTCTCCAAACCGTCTGACAGAACATCAATGGTACAGTATTAGATAGATACTAGTTGTAATAATCGATTATTCAACGGGTAAGGCTCAATCGGGATCTTCCGATGTACGTAGGTATGTATGTACGTATGTAGAAATTCTATGGTGTTAAGGACGACATTGCTTTATCGGATTTTACGTCGTGATTGGTTCGTTTTCGTAACTTAGATAGTAGCTGAGTTAATCGATCTGTCTGATCTAATAAACGTCGATATTGTACCATAATCTAATATTAGTTTCTTCATCGTATTAACTTCCACCGTTTTGACGAGAGAATGACATAGAAAGGAAGAGAAACGATATGGGAATCGTAAAATAAATTGAAACTTTACTTCCTTATATAAGCAGAAGAAAAGTAAGAGGAATAAGAAAAGAGATAAAGAAAGACTCGAGTTTCGTGAAATTCATGGGATCTTTCGCAAGAAGAATTTTTATCTTTCTCTCTCTCTCTCTCTTTCTTTCTTTCTCTTTCTCTCTCGTTTTCTTTTTCACACCTGTCGCGTCCACTCGTAAAACTAACACGAAAGCAAATTCATCTCTGTTGTTTGTCGTAAAATAATATTTTACTATCATTCTACTATCTTTTATCTCTTTCATCGTTGCGTATCTTCCGAGATAATTTCGATAGTCTCTTCGAATCGATTTTTAAAGCTATCAAATTTAGTATGTATAATAAAAAAAGACAAAAAGTAGATCGAGTAAGTTTGAATTGACCTCGTCGATTGATTTTTCCGTTGTCCCGAATATCTACGTTTATTTTTATTATCGTTTACACGATTGGCACAAAGTTTCGAATCCTTCTAAACAGAGTATTTGTAAGAATAATTTTGGTAGAAATAACTTTTAAAATAACCGAGACAAATATTAATTTGTCAAAAAATTAACTCGAGACTAGCGCATGATTTACACATACTTTGTATTATTATTACTTTTCTTTAATAAAGAAATTATTTATTTTTAGACGATACAACTCGACACGTTTCAGACAATTTCTGTCAATTAGTTTCTTCAGTATTTCTAATTGAAATTGGCAAAGATATTTCCGTAGGAAAAATCCCGACTATTATCCTAAATTAAATATAAAAATTATTAAAGAAAAATTTTGCAGGTATAAAATGATATTAAAATTTTAAAAGACATAATTCAACTCGTTAACATTTTTCTTACTGATCAATATATTTGTAAATGTTTATTCACTGGTATCCTAAAAATAAGCTTTTTATTGATTTGAAACTTTTGGCAAGTGGTGTACGTATTGTCGATGAGATAAAGGAATGAGATTAATTGGACACGTATCGGAAACTTTGATTATAATCTTCGGATCTTAAACGATAGTAATCTGAATGATTTTGTATCTCGATTGGCAGACTCACCAAGGCGTATGGCACGTGTGAGTTAACGTTAAGTATCTGGCACCAAGTTCGTAGAGCATTCTCAGGACCGCCAAACTCGTGCCGATGGCATGCCCTCCTTCAACCCCTATAAGACTCGCTATTTTACCCTCCTTGTGTGCTCTCTCGATCCCTGAAATTATACATTAAATTCAAGTTTATTCGTCTGCGATTATTTCAATTATTTTCATTCACCCTATTTATTATACCGGAAAGTTTTGTTCATTTTTGAATTGAAAGAAAATAACCAAATTTTCAGACATTTAATAATATTTATTGTAGAATATTTTTTTCCATCGTTACTTATGACTTCTTGCCTGCATGATAGCAACTTTTAAATGCCATTTTTTTTAAATAATTCTTTTTAGAGACGAAAAACTCAATTAGTGCTTGATTTACATCATCTTCAATTTTGAATTTTTTTTTCCTGTAAAAAATTTTGCAACGGGAAAAACAAGTGATAATCGAAGGGTGCAAGGTCTGGGGAGCATGGTGGATGTGACAGAATTTCCCAGCCTAGGTCTGCGATTTT